TCAGTGAACCTGAGGCTGAGGATAACAGACAACAGACAGCAGCGGCAGCGGCAGAGACACAACTGCTGCTGTCGGCACATCCCAGTGGGAGAAACCTGGTATAAGAGCCCACTGGAGCTCTGATTCACTGCACAACATTAACACACACACACACACACACTGACTGATGGCACAAAGACACACACACATACCCACAGAGCGCTAATGGACTGTTATTAAAGACATGCATCACACCGCGTCAGGTTCTGACCACACACGTAGTCAAACACACATCTGCAAATTCCTTTCACGCACACACACACACACACACACACACACACACACACACCAAGCAAACAGCTGTGTCCTTAAAAGGATAATTCAGGTTTTACAGTGTGGTCGTATGAGGCACTGACATATGCAACTTTTTAACTCTTTGTTCTCCTGCACCACAGTGAAAATAAGACGTTTTACTCCCCAGCACACAGCAGCTGTTAATCCACTGCTGCATCAGTTCTTTAAATGCTGCTTTTTTTGCAACTCAGATGTTCAAAATCCTTTCTGCATAATGACCTTAGTAACTAAGGGGTGCAGCAGTGGACAAATCTGGGTTTGATAGAGTAAGCAGAAATCAGTATGTAGGTCTTTTTTTTCAGCTGAACTGATTTCACTTTTCCTGAAGTTCTGAGGTTATTCAGAGCTTTTGGTACAATTTTTAATAATAGCATCATGAAGTTGCTGATGTGTTTGCTGCGTGCATGCAAACCTTCTGTTTGCTAGGTTTGCTGCGTGCATGCAAACCTTCTGTTTATCAATACCCCGGCAGTTTGCTGCAAGTTGCTAGGGTTCCCTATTAGTTTGGATTAAAAACTTGCGCCTGGGAGTCATGACGAAGGGCAAGTTTGAACTTAGTTTTAACGTCGTCTGGTGAAATGATGGAACAGCACTCTCTTAATAAATTTATGGGAGATGTTGGTGTATCGTCAAAACGCTGTAGGTCGAGGACGCCATAAACCGAGGACCCCCAGTATTAGACCAAGTGGTCAGTGCGTGTACTTCATCCTGGAGGTACAGTACAGATAGATTTTGTTAGATGTGGCCTTAAAGAATGAAAACTTCATGATTGCAGTTACTTTTCTTCACAGCTGGTGCATTTGTGCTGTATTTTTAACCCAAACTGTTAAAAATCTCTCCTTTATCCCTTTAAGGCCTGTTCACACTCTCACACTCATTCTCCTGCTTCACACCCTTTGTAAGTTCCTTCTGCGGCAGACACCTCCACGCATTTGTTCTCTTTTTGAGAAATGTACTGAGATATTTCTGAGCACCATGGCAGATGCTTAACATACACATATGCATATACACAAAACAAAGGCAGAACGTCCTTCCCACGCGTAGAAATCCTGCTGATCTCCGACAACACCAGCAGCACAACAGCAGGCTGAAACTAATCCACCTCCCACTACATGGTTTTAATGAGCCTCCAAAACTGTAATCCTGATGGTGCTGCGCAGTCAGCGCCAACCTGAGCTGCTTCCATGACTTTGTGCTGTCAGCAAAACCTGAACAGGGAGATCTCTGTGTGTGTGTGTGTGTGTGTGTGTGTGTGGAGAATCTGTGCACTACCCTGGTTGACAGTTTTCCATCTGGTAAAAGAATAATATACGTGCGCTTTGCTTTGTTAAGTGATTTCTTCCGTCTTTGCAGTTAGTTATCCACTCAAACATTCCCACTCTTCAAATGTAGAAATTAAACTTGGCCAGGTCATTAGTTGTAATACATAAGGACTGCTATACTGCCACCTACTGAACAGTGGAATATGAAAAGTGGTGTCCGTGCATTTCTTTAAAACAAACTCACTGGTCAACGTCAGCAATTTTCCACAAATGTTTCTCGGTTTTCTTCTCTTCTTTAGAACACAAATGTAAACAGAGTATGCTGGGATTTACTGCCATCTAGTGGTAAAGATATGTCATAGTTGGATGATTCCTCGGCCCATCATTTCTGTTCTGTTTCGATGGAGGTTCTGTTTTATCGACCAGACTGGACTGATTTCAGTTCCAGAAGTCTTATAAATACTGAAACATCTTCAAGGAACTCCAGAAGAAACTTTCCTGAAGACCTGGAAAGTTTCTTCTGGATGACTGGATGGACTGATGTTCTTAGAATGTATGAGATATACGACATATCAGATTGTTTATCAATAAAACTGATAATAATATCAGTTTTCCAACTTTTATTCACTTTAAGACATAAAAGAGACGCCTGATGTCCCAGAAGACAAACTGGTCCACTCTTAATGACCAGACAAGTGTTGCTCGAGAAGACCCTCAGGAGGGGGACACTGCTGGCAGTTGAAGTGTGGAGCCAAGTCTTGGTGTCAGAGCCCACCAATGTGAGCCCATGGGGTCCAGTGAGGCTCATCCTCAGAGAGAGAGAGAGAGACATTGAATTGTCCTTGAGTGGTTCCATAATTGTCAGATTACAGACAGACGCTCCGGAGCATCTGTCTCTTCACCTGCGTCATTCTTGGATCAGTGCAAACAGAAACTAATAGAAATGGGAGCAGTGTGTGTGTGTGTGTGAGCGTAAGAGAGCAAAGGGGGGAGCAGGGTGAGACAGAAGCTGCCAGAGTCCCTTTTAGAAACCCCTCTGGGGGCCCACATTAGGGGCCTCCAGGGGCCAAATTAGAGGCCACTAACCCAGTTAGGGCTCAGCAGCAGAGAGGGTCTGACTGGCAGGGACCGACTGGTTCCACTCCAGCCCTCTGAACTCTCTCTCTCTCACACACACACACACACACACATGGAGCTTGAGTCTTTGTTTTGCAGCAGATCAGCAGAAGATAAAAGCCAGTTCCTGACAATAGCAGCCCCTCTGCTGGGAGTCTGCAGGGACACTGTAATGTATTCCTGTAGCTGGGCCTGTTGTGTTAGTGCGTCTGCACAGAGGGGAAGTGATTTCAACTCATTTAGCATTTAGGAGGCAGGAGTTTCTCTCACTGAAATCCTATTATTGTCATCCATCCAGATGTAACTGGAAAAAAGTTGTAACGTGTGTTTGACCAGAAATGGCTGAATTGGACATTTGAGGATGTCGTATCTTCAAATGTTTATCTCGAGGATCTCTAAACTGCTTACTCCAGCCCTCAACTGAGGTTTGTAAACTCATTACTGCCTTCATTAAACTCTACTGAGAAAATCAATGTTTTTGCTGGTCATGAAACAGGAGCTGATGGTTCAATTCTGCCTCGTGTTTGTATCACTAAAGTAAATACAAATTAAGAATTACATAGAATAAAGTCACTGAAAAATACATTTAAATTCACTGAAAGAGGCAGAAGTTGATTGACAGCTGTTATCTGCTCTGATAGCAAGTACATTTTTTATAATAATATTTTTGGAAAAGCTAGAAAAAAAGTTTTAGAAACAACAACATTAAGAAACAAAGATAATTATGAGCAGGGGTCTCAAACAATTCTGACCCAGGAATCTTCAACATCCGGCCCACAAAAAGGCATCAAATTTACCCTAAAGGAATTTCCTTGTATCTATTTTAAATAGTGGTTTGTTCATTCATTAAAATACTTTAGTTGGCCATTTTGGAATATAAAAAAACCACACATTTGTATTCTCTTTTTATACTGTTGTATTATATTGTATATGAAAGAAAATGGTGGCGCTTTGGCCCAGAGGCAATGTCTCTGTCATTGGTGTGGAACCCCAGGCTTCACCTCCTGGGCAAGATCAAATCCCAGTCAGGGCGGTTGGTACCTTCCAGTGGACTCACCACCTGCAGGAAGGTTCAGGGGGGTTGGTATGGTGCAGTGGGATTTGGGTGGAGACTGCTGCCCCACGACCCGGTAACGGATAAGTGGATGAAAATGGATGGATGGATGGATCAAACAAAATGATCTGGATTTATAAAATGTCTGTTTTTTTGGGGGGGGGGTTTGTCCGTCTTTGAACATCAAACACTTATGTCGTCCTTTGATAAAATGAGGGTGGAGTGTGGTAGTAGTGGTCTTCAATCTGTCTCTCTCTGCGTTTGAGACCCCCGGTTTAAACTAACTTCAACTCACTAGCTAACTCACTTTACAGATAATATTGTAACAATGACGATCTTCAATACATCATGATTCATTATTCTCAACTGTTTTACATATTTCAATATTTAAAAATTGAAATACTGCCCCCCTGTGGAACTGTACGGCTTTACAGCATAGTTAAGGCCACTTTTTAAAATTAAGACATAAATCTGTTCTGAGTAAGAGTTACTGATTTACATCAGGTGCACACTAAGTAAAACACTGTGATCGACAGGCCTTCTGTTTCTGGTTCGGGACATGCCCCTCAGTTTCCTCAGTTGCATATTTTGATGGTGGTGACATTTCTTCCATAAATTTCAGTTTTACGACTTGAGCTTGACTGAACTATGTGGAGTGTCGCCGGCCACCTCGCCTTGACAATGAAGGCAGGAAAAACTACAGTGGGTGTTGATTGATTCGCCTCAGGGGGGCAGTGGAGGCCATTTACTGTTCAGGGTCGAGCTGGCTTCTGTTTATAAAAGTCTCGGAACATTAGCGTCATGGCCATGAGAGATTGAGCAGATGTTTGCATTTGTTTTTAAAAAGTCTAAAGAATGTAGAACTGTTAAACTTTAATTCAACATGTAGGTAGCAACACCTAGAAATGTACAAGTTTAAGGATCCAACATGGCAGCCTCCACAGAAACAACTGTTACTGAGTGTCTTTAAAAACACATCAGTACAATAAGTATCATATTCATATATAATATTGAATGTTACCTTTAGTGAACAGTCATTCTATTAAAGACAAAAGTAAATGTAATGAAAAAAAAAACTCATTCCAATCTCTTTTTCTATACTTTACTACATAAAGATCTGTTTTGTTATTGTTGTTATTTTTGACTGTCCCAAATATTGTATTTCTATGTGTGGAATAGAGGCAACGAAATGAAGAAATAGTTTCAGGGTTGAATCCTTCCAGCTGGAATCTAATTATCGGGTGATTAGAAGTGGGCGGAGCTAGATGAGTGGCGTTTTCTCAGGTTTGGTCACAAGACAAGAGCAACAGCTTTCATTGAAAAAAAAAACACTAAAACTCCTGTTTTAGGTGTTTTCTTTTTGTGGTGACCAGTTGAGATGGGCTTCACACAAACACAGTGGCTGGGACTTGTGCTTCTCTTCTCCTGTGGAAACCTTTGTGTCGCCTTCAACCGTTGGACCAATGAGACCGAGAGTGGAACAGAGCAGGTGACCGTGAGCGTGCAGTCCAACCAGACAGAACCAATCCAGAAGTTTCCTGTCCGGTACCGGCTCAGGAGCTACCAGCTCAGGAGAAATCCAAAGCCTTCTGTGATCCCTCAGGCATCAGAGGTCAGAGAGCCACAGCAGGAGGTGAAAGGAAGTGTGGTGAAGGCACTGATACCAGGACCAGATCTGAATCCACCTGTTAAGCAGGAACCAAAAGTAAATTGAAGCTTTTTTTTTTTCATCTTCTCCACCTGAGGTTGTGTAAAAATAAACCCTTTGGTTAAACATAATGGTTGAAGCATTTAAACATCTTTCTGATTGGGAACTGAGGTTTCCTTAAGATCATTCTCTGCTGCACCAAAGTCCATAGAGAAAACAGCTTTTTAATCTTGCACAGCAGAATTCAGGAACTACAGTTCATCAGCTGCAGTGCTGCAGTTTAAGTAAATGCATTACTTATGTCACCAAATTATACATAACAACATACAGTAGAAGCAGAGGCAGCCTTAGTTTAAAATGAAGGCTTCACTTTGGAACAGCTCAGATTTAGTTGCTTGGCAAATAACTCTCCTTATTCATTAAACCAGGTTAACGCATCGAAAAATAAGAAATTGTTTTTAAAAAAGTGTGGTTTAAAACTAGGATTTTTTTTTTTTTTCACAAAGACAATCAAGCCCTATAGAAAAAGACAACATTGTGTCAACAACTCACTCTGTGCTGTATCGTCTGACCTGTATTTTTCATGAAGGTGCTGCTAAAGTTTGAGCCGTGGACACGCGTTCAAGCTGACAGCGTGGCAGTCCGCTGCGGTGAAAGCAAGGTCACTGTGGAGGTCAAACACAACTTTCTAGGTAATGTCTGCTATTAACATTGTCTAAATGGATTAAGTGTGGTTTGTGTGTGTGTGTGTGTGTGTGTCAGGGGCTGTGGTGTCAGGCCCAGGTTAGCTGCCTGTATTGATGAAATTGAATGTTACAGTGAAGATGAGCCACTCAGTGCTTTTTCCTGCAAATGGCACAGACTGTTGAGTCAGCAATCAATACTATGTTTCCACTTATTTCCACAGTCTGAAAACAAAGCATTCTGGGTACACTGATGCAAACTTTATATATAGAAATGCATTAGAATACCATTTATTTGTCCTGCAGCTTAACCTCCACTCTGAGTGTTATCGACTGGACCACAAAGAAAAATAGCCTCAGGTAATGGTCTTGATTTAGGGTTTTTTTTCTTCTTTTTTTCCCCTCTGTTAGGAAACAGTCAGTCGATCCAGGAGAGTGACCTGACCTTAGGAGGCTGCGCCACTTCACACTCAGATCAACACGTCCTGCAGTTTCAGACAGAGCTGCATGACTGCGGCAGCAAAATCAAGGTGTTCATTAGCTTGTTTTTAACTGTGACACGCATGATCATGTGACATCACTGACTGTACGTGTGCTCGCTCCAGGTGACCAATGATGCCCTCATCTACTCCTTCAACCTGTCGTACGTTCCTACACCCATTGGCACCACCTTCATCGTAAAGACCAACACTGCAGAGGTGTTGATTGAGTGCCACTATCAGAGGTGAGAGAATAGAGGCTATTTAGGCATCTGTATTTTTACGGACATTAACTGTCAACTGTGGACCTGCAGGAGTCTGAGCTGAGGCTCAGAGCAAAAGACCTTCACCTGAAATGCTTGGCATCAAATCCAAATCTGAAATCTTTGGCCAAAAACCTGACCTGAAAGTTGACTTGGTCAAAGTACAATGGCCTAAAATCTGATTTAAATTTAAAAATGTTTACTTTAAAACCCATTGCCTAGATGGATAGGCAGAATGGGAGAAACATAAAAACTAGTAAGAGTAAAATCTTCACCAATTGTAGCATTAATTGTGCAGTGGAGACCATTCTCCGAAAACCAACATCAACAAAAGGTTAAAAATATATATATGTGTTCTAACCTTTACCCCTTTGTTTATTCCGTCTGTTTCTGTCTCTGTTTTTACAGGCGACAGTCCGTGAGCAGCAGTGGTGTCAGACCCTCCTGGATTCAGTTCAACTCTGACCTGTTGGTGGAGCACAGACTTGGCTTCTACATGCATCTGATGACAGGTGAGGGAGTATCAATTATCTGTAATTAGGGCTTGTTTTGTGTTGGATTAGATACTTTACTAACTTTCTCTGGATGGTGTTTATAATGTGTGAAGCAGGAACTTTCATTCGCAGCAGACACTTTGACAAATTCCTCCAGCAACGGCTGGTAATTGCATCACTTTGTGCCTTGGCTGTTTAAAAGTAAACAATGTCTTGATGAAGTGGACGTGAAAAACTTCAGCGGTCCATAAAGTGCTGTTTCCTACTGTAGCTCCTCCTCCACTGTTGATAACATGATCACATTTGTATAACTTTGTTAAAGTTCTGACTGAGTGTCTGCAGATACAGCAGCCTAAGTTCTTTGTTTGTTATATCCAGGTAAATGTATTTAACTCAGAGCTCCTCTCCCTCAGGGGCTCCAGTCATGTTGTGTACAATCAGATTGAAAACTCATGTTCCTGTATTTGATTAGAGGACTGGCAGAGGCAGAGACCGTCCAGCGTTTATTTCCTCAGCAACGTGATGCACATCGAAGTGGGCGTCCTACAGGGTCACCACGTCCCGCTCAGGGTCTTCGTGGACAGCTGTGCGGTCACTGCCCATCCCGATCCCAGCTCCCATCCCAGATACGACGTCATCAACAACCACGGGTGAGCGAGCAGCCATGGATCACAGGCCAGAATTTAAACATAAACACTCTCTTTGTTCTGAAACCAAAAAGTCATAATAATGGAGAGGGATGTTGGAAAAACGCAGCACTCCACCCTGTACGTTCTTCTCTAGTCCCCGTTCAACCTCTGTGTTTATTTTTGCCTTATAAGGTGTTTTATTGACGCTAAGCTGACAGGAGCCAAGTCTTACTT